CAGTTTTGTATCTGGTATGACCTAGACAACAGAGGTTTTGTTTTTATTATTCACTTGTGCTCTACCACAGGAAATAGTTTCTTAGTTTTAATGTGTTACTAGCTGATAAGCAGAGAGATGGAACACACAAGTATACTCTTTTGGTTTTATGGTGGACTTAGAAGGGTAAGTCAGTGAACAGAGAAGTAAAGTTCTCGCCTGTAAGCATACTTCTGTTCCCACATGTAGGGCCAGAACCATGAATGGACTATATATGGTTACATGGCTGTTGCTCCAAAACTACCTCTGTTTTGTCCAGTAGCTTTTAACATGAGAGATGGAAGCAGTCCTGAGACCAAGGTCTTGAACTCAGATCCCCCTTTTCATAGAAAGTGGCTGCTGTTCTGGATTTTGATTCTGCTCTTGGCCCAGCAAACCTCAGAGAGTTGAGTGGAAAATACCCCAACTCCAACTGTTTGGTGCCTATGGTTGTTTCCTGAAGGACAGGAAATGGAAGCTTGAAACCAAGGTGCTGATATAAAAGTCTCCTGTCCTGTGGGCAATCTCTTTTCCAAGGGGCAATCTTGAAGGAACAATCAATGGCTTGTTATTGTTTATTTGCACGACATGCCTAGGGTGTGTGGGTGCAGAGGGGAGGTAGTGGAAAGCGGCCCTAAAGTTGGAAAGGCTCAGAAAGCATCCCTTTCTCCTCCTCTTGGTTTGCTGGTGAAAGACGACTGAAGAGAAGGAAATGACGAGAAGGGAAGGAGGAAGCTGGAGAAATAGAGCCCAGTCTCTCACTCAGCAGTTTGTCCTCCTGTGTATATTCAGAGTATTCAGAATGAGAAACCCTCAGCACTTCCCTCCTTTCTGTATCGATTTTCTTTTGCTATTTCTGTTACTCTTGATGAGAGCCATCCCTCCTTCCAGCCAAAGACTAGGGAATGAGAAGAAACGAAAATAAATTAATTGCAGGTCAAACAGATGAGGCTGGGCTTAGCGCAGATAGAGCAGGCTGAATGGAGCAAGACTCTTGATGTGCTCTGTTCTCAGTGCTCAGCCAGGCATCTTTTTTCCCAGACTGTGAAGATAATGATGTTGCTGTTGCTTTTTCTTAGATTCGTAGAACAACCTTCAGACATAAAACTTTGGGGTTCTGAGCTTCATGTGTACCAGGCAAAACTGTCAAGCCTGGTCAATATCTGAATATGTTGAAGAAAACAGAAGGTGCTGAAGGAAAACAGTGCTGATATGTTGCGGGGGGCATCACTTCTCATCTGAGTATTAACTTGGCGGCACTACTGCAAGACTATTCTTTAAGCTGAATTTAAATAACCAAAACCCAGTCAGTGATTTTTTTCAGATTCTTGGCACCTTTAGAATGAAGTAGGGCTGGTCCGAACAAAAGCTTAAAAGTTAAAATGCAGTATTCCAGCGTATCTAGTAGTTCAACTGGAGAAAAGTGTGTCGAAGCAGTCTGTATTTTGACTTGTATTCAGTTTTAATTACTGAATGCCACTCTGAAGAAGGTTGTCTTTTAATGGCAGATGAAATCATTCTTACAAGTGGAAATATGTTTGATGCACAAAATGATGCCATGTAAGTAGAGACTAACAGAGCAGATTCCTTTATTTAGAAAAAAATAATGAGGGAGCTTAATTAAGATTTATAAAGTAACAAAAGCAGTTCATTTTGCTTTTCTGTTTATTGGCCTCAAAAATTAGCTGTTCCTATCCAAGTGAAATTAAAAAAGAATATATCTAAACTGGATACATTGATTTTTTTTTTTCCTCTGTACTTAGTTTGTGAAGTTCATTACATAAAATAGTTGAAGCTCAAAAATTGAGAATGAGTGTGAAAGTGTAACCGTAATGCAACTAACAGTACAGCTAAAGTCTTAAATTTTTTTTTTTTTTTTTTTTTTTTGCGTACAGCAGGGCTACTGAAGCCTGGTTTCCTATGGAGTTATAGCCTGTATTTCTTTAATAACTATCCCACTACAAGACACCCAATTTGTACTTCCCCCTCCCGCCCCCTTTTACAGCCCCAGCTGAGATAGGATGTAACATGCAGTCTGGTTAATCCAGACTGGTTTGCCTCAGTGGATGCTTATTTGAGTTGACCAGCTGATTCTGCAAATGGAATATAAAGCAGGTATGTTTTTAAGGACTATAAATTGTTCATTACATAGGATGTTTTCTAACTGAAACACTGAGGAAGGAGCTTGCTGTATGAGCCGGTATTTTTCATTTTGAAGTTCCTTAAACTTTGCTTGGAAACATTCAATAGCGGATTAGTCTGATTTTTGTATAGTGATTCCCCTGCGTATAGTTTGACACAAGCTTTGCAATTGTTTTGGCTTCAAGGCACTACGTGTGTCTAACGGCTTACACAAGACAAGCGTGTAAATGGATTGTGTCCTTGCGTTACAATTCTCCCCCTTTCCAGATTTTGGTGTTACGAGTAAGTCGTCATACATATATGCAATCATATATGCTTAAGCTAAGCTCCTCTGATCTTTGACTAGTTTGAAGACTTTTTAGGAGCTATTTTCTTTCCTGTTTACATCTCAGTGTAGGCTTCTATGAGCATTACAAGGTATGCTAAACCTTTCTAATGAGCTTTAGCACATCAGCAGAGTTTGCTTCAAGATGTGTGGCTTCTACCATCTCACAAAGTTGTGCCTGAAAGAAGGGGGAAGAAACACCTTTTCATGCTGCTAGCGTACCTCACCTCCCCTATCCCCACCTTCGCTGTAGAGCTGTGGTTATATGGCTGATTCCCATTCGTTAGAAGATGTGTTGAATTAGCTATGCAATGCATTTATGCCTCTGGGCAAGTTCCTTTCCAGCGCACAGTGCAGGAAAATTCTAACTGAAGTGGAGAATAAAATTTTTATGAACTGGGACTTTGAACACTCAAGTGCTGTAATATGCTTTCAGCTAATTTCATCTTTAAATACAGATAATGAATCCACTTCAGTTTGTATTCGGATAAGAAACGTCATTCATTCTGTATGAATGCAAGTATCTATGTAAAATGGGTGCCTTTACAATTTGGTCATAGCTTAGATTTTTTTTTTTAAGTGATTTAAACTAGGTACGGTTATACTGACATACTTGTAAATGAATTGGGGGATTGGTCTGTGTACTGGAGGAAAACATAATTTATAGAACCCTGTATAATTAGTTACTCTGTGTTAATTAGTTAATCTGTGTTCAAGAAAAGCCCTTTTTTTAAAAGCTGATACAGTGACGTAACCCACCTATGAAAGCCAGGTGGGACACATTAAAGATCATGAAATGCTATCATGCCTTTGGAATAAGCAAATCCCAAAGATCCACCTGGCCTTGGTTCCCAGGCTCTGGCATGAGGCATCAGGCTAGAGTTGGTCTGGGGACACCTGTATTTTAGGGTGGAAAAACATAACAGTGTTTCATGACAGTCTCATGATGCTGTTCAAGAAAAAGTAATAATTTTTAAAAAGCCCTTAATAAATGTGATTACTATTTAGAGTTTCGGCTATATTGAGGTACCGGGAAAAAACATGTTTTGTTGCCGTATTTGTTCATATTATTTCATAGCAATTTAACCTGTCATTTGCCCAAGTTTTTTAGGTGTGAAATCTTGCCAGCAGCTTGCCATGAAATGTCTGTTATTCCATGAAAATATTTTCTTTCTCGTATGATGTATCTCCAAACTGCTGTCAAATTCCCCAGCCTTACTGAGATTGAGTTTGCATGGATACAGCTCAGTACGATAAAGTTTAACACATCCGATTTTACTGACAAAATTTGCTTTTGTCCACTGTAGCAAATGTAATCATATGGTGTATAAATAGAAACCTATATTACAGAAGACAGGAGTGCAACATGTCTCATCCTGTGCCTGTTTCCAAAAACAGGGGATGGAATGGGTGTTCATAAAATCCAGGTTTTGACTGCAGAAAACGAGAGCGCAAGTAAGCGGCTGGTCTGCCAGTTCTGCACAAAAAGTCTCAGGCAGTGGTTTTAGGTATGAAATGCCCAGATATTTAAACAACTTTTTTTTTTTTCCTTAAATTAAGTGTGCCCTTTGGAGAGCCAGCATCTTTCAGGTGGTGAAGTAATGGGTGATGTAGTTTAAATTACCCACAGTTTTGCTGTAGTGGGGAGCCAAAACAGAGCAGCTGAGAGTATTTAACAGCTTTGTTTGATGGCTCTGGTTCTTGCCTTTACCTCGGGAAGGGGCGGTGGGAGCCCTGTGCTCTCAGAGATAATTGTGCACACCGGCATTGCCGAAACCCACCCCGTTGTGCCTGTGTTTTCCGACAGCTGCAGGAAGCGATCAAGGCTGGCAAAGGTGTGACTTCTGCCATCGACCTCTGCCGCAGCCATGGAAAGAGGGCGCTGGCGGCCTTGGAGCGCTTCCCTCCCTCCAAGGCCAGGGCCACCTTGGCCAACATCGTCT